ACACAAGCCATCCACTGGAAATTCCACATCCCCTACCACCGCCAATCCTCAGGTAAAGTTGAGTGTGCCAATTGCCTATTAAAAAATACACTCACCAAACTCTCTCTCAAACTCCATCTAGATTACACATACACACACAACCAGGCCTCAGTCTCTCGCATTGCAGGAATTGCTGATTGCCCTATACAGGGATGTTCCTCTACAATCACTATTTCTGTTGACCTGCAGTCTATATTCCCTACTTACAACCCCTTTGTCTGCTTTCAATATGACCAAAGTAGAGACTATTGTAAAAATGTGACCCCACCTGAGAACATGCGCCACCCCCCACCAGCCAGAAGCAGCCAGCGGATCAAACTGCGCCCCAATACCCAACCCTTTTCTTCTCCCTCTCTCTTTAAGAAACAAAAACTGGGGGAATGATAAGAACTGCCCCTTGCCACCATTCTGCAGCTTGAGCCGCAGCTGGTCTCATCCCTTGCAGAACAAAGCCCCACTGTCCCTTATCTCCTGCCACCTCCCTTTGCCTGTCGCTAGCCCTTGCTTTCTCCCAAACACTACTTAAGGCCAGACCCGTCGAGAGAAGCTGCTGCGTCATTTTTTTCTCAGCCAGCCAGCCTGCTTATTAAACTTTTGGACCTGAGATACCTCTCGTGAGCCTCCTTTGTGTGCGGTGTGCGGCGTTTTCCTAACATAAATCACATCAATATTTATCTTCTCCTAAGTTGGTGGTATATCTCACACGTATGGGATCTTCACACACAAACTGAATTCACACAATGCAACCTCCTCTGATGTGTTCAAAAGTTACAAATTATTTGCCCATGGCATGCAAACATGTTTTGTTTGGCCCTCAGACATTTTTGAACAATTTAATTAGTTGATAAAATTTAATTAGTTGTAATTGCAAAATTACAAAACTTCACATGAAAAACATGGATTGTCGATTATGAATAAAGCTTCTCTAAACATTTGTGTGCAGATTTTTGTGTGGACATACCAAGGATTTCAACGGCTACATTGTATGTTTGATTTTGCAAGCAACTGTCTTCTAAACTGGCGGTACCATCTTGCAATCCTACCGGCAATGAATAAGAGTTCTTGTTGCTCCGCATCCTTGCCAGCATTTGGAGTTAACAGTATTTTGGACTTGAGCCATTCTAGTAGGTGGGTAGCAGTATTTCATGTTTGTTCTAGGATGTTTTAACAAAGTTTCAATGTTATTTTCTTGATGGTTGCTCTAGGGCTTATAATATATACCTAATTTTTTTGGAATTACTGAGGATTGAATTTAGGGCTTGTGCTTGCTAGACAAGTGTTCTACCACCTGAGCCATGTCCTCAGTCCTTTTGCTTTATTTTTCGGATAGGGTCTTACACTTTTGCCTGGGCTGGCCTCAGATTGCAATCCTCCTACCTCTACCTCGAGTAATTGGGATTACAGGCATATACCACCATACCACACCCAGTTTCACAATACACACATTATATGTATATATGATATATATATATATACATATCACATATATATATATCACATATATGTATCTTAACTTATTAGAATCTACTTCTGATTTATACTATCTTAGTTACAGTGATATACCTACATAGTTCTATTATCTCTAATGGCCCCCCGGTTTGTGGAGTTTGGCTAGGATCCTGAGTTGAGGTTGGTGGCTGTGTTATTGGGAGTGGGCCCTTGTTAATCAGAATGTTTTTCTGTGTGATGAGTGTGGTCCAGAGGCAGATAAAATAGGAACTTTAAGCAGATTTTTTCCCTTCTTGTTCATAGTCATGTTATGAAAGAGCTTGGCAAATGCTGAAGCTAACATCTGAGTCACCTTGGACTATCATGTTCATAGCTATAGAGAGAGAAATCTTACTGTCTACATGTTCTGTAAAGGTGACTGCTTTTCAGAAGAGAATGCAGGTGTGTAGCTATCTGCCAGTCTGAGTTATAAGGCATTAAGCTGAAAATGGAAAGAAGGCTATAAAGGTACCCATGTTTATTGCAGCACTAGTCATAATAGCCAAGTCACAGGACCAGCCTATGTGCCCATTAACATGAATGGATAACATAAAATGGATAAACACACATGCATACATACAGTGATTATTCAGCTATAAGAAGAATGAAAATTATACTGTTTTTGGAAAATGGGTGGAACTGGAGATCATTATATTAAGTGAAATTAGCCAGTCTCACAAAGACAAATATGGCATGTTTTCTTTGATTTTTGAAAGCTAAGGAGGAAAAAAGAAAAAAAAGAAGCTCAAGTACAAGGGGGTCTACTGCAAGGTAGAAGGGGAAGGGAAATGGGGAGAGAAATAAAAAAGAGTAATGGGGGGTGCTGAACATGATCAAAGTACATTATATCCATGTATGAAAGTATCACAATGAAACCCCTTACTCTGTTCAGTGAATATAAGCTAATAAAAACAAAACCAGAGAGAAGGAAATAACCAACCAAAAATTATACAGTGAGCTATTACTACTAATACATCATATATGACAAAATAAGAACAGTGAAAGCATTTGAATATAGAACTGTTAAACCTGTTGAAATTACCATAGGAAGGGGACTAAGATAGAAAGAAGAAAAGTGGAGGGGATGAACCAACTCGGTATATAATACATACATACATGTATACCTGTCTTAAACAAATAAAAATGTCTTTTTTTCAAAAACAGAGGATAGGAAGGTAAAACAGGTCCTGTCTGGTGGTTGGTACCAGTGGGCAGGAGGAGATATAAGGAAAGGAGGGTAAATATGGTAGAAATATTAAGTACTCATGTATGAAAATGGAAAAATGGGACCTACTGAAACTATTCTAAGAAGGGGGAGGGAGGATAAAGGAGAATGATGGAGGGGTGAATTTAACTATAATATATTATAAGCACTTCTGTAAATGTCACAATGTGCCCCCAGTATATATATATGATTAATATGATTTCATTTATATATATTATATATATAAATTAAAAAACCAAGGCCCAGAAAGTCTGTATCATGGAATGCTTTAGGTAAATAAAAATTATTTGTGGATAAAACAATAATTGACAGGACTGAACAACTTGGGAAAAGGGAAGAAATAATGGGTGTGGCTTTAGTTTTACAGACTGGGAACAGTTAAATTTTTAATCTAAGTCTTCAACAGCAAGGGGGTAAATATGACTTCCTAGATGTCATGAAGACTTAGTGTGAATGAGGATCTGGCAGAGGTAAGTTAGGACAGAGAAAATCAAATGCCACCATTTAAGAGTCATACTGCAGGTCACCTGGCCAGAGAGAGGAAAAGAAACATACATTCATACTGCTTAGAAAAGAGTTTTCTCATTGGTGCCTCGATTGCAACAATTTAAATATAATTTCTCACTATCCATGCCACCTCCTCCTTTCCTGCAAGATCGTATTGTTCTCTGTTCTGGCTCCTTGGTGTCATCCTTCCATATCTCAAGAGTGGGACAATAACCATGAAACTCATAAGTTATCAAGGGGGCTTAGGTAAATTGTGACTACTCATGAACTTATATTTCAGTTGACATACAGAGGCTCTGTCCACCTATCTATTTGGTTAGAGAAATGAACAGAGTGTATAGATGTGTGTGCTTGGGGGAATGGGAGTGGTAAATAATTGTTTAGATCAGGACCTCAAATTCAAATGCCTGCTAGAATCAGGCACCTTATCTGAAGGGGCAGCTGCTACATGGTTCGAGCAGATTGTTGCCACATGCGAATATAAGCCCACTGTTGCCAGATGTTCTGAAATTTTTAAATAAACAAGAAATCTGCACTTTTTTGGCAGTGCTAGGGTTTGAACTCGGGGCTTTGCACTAGCTAGGCAGGTGCTCTCCTGCTTGAGCCACCTCTTTAGTCCTTTTTGCAGTTTTGCCCGAGTGGCCTGGACCATAATCTTCCTATTTATACTCCCCATCAATGCTGGGATGATAGGCATGAGCCACCACACCCAGGTTTTTTCTATTGAGATGGGGTCTCACAAACTTTTTGTTGCCCAGGCTGGCCTAGAACTACAATCCTCTTGATCTCAGCCTCCTGAGTAGCTTGGAATGATAGGCATGTGCCACCAGCACCCTGCTGAAATCTACATTTTTATGTGGAATCTTCTGCCTTTCAAATATTATCAACCAATTAAAATCTTTGAAAAACACTAGATAGACCATTCAATAGTGAATTCTAATTCCGATGACAGAGGTAATACATGGTAGAGCCTTGATTTGGTGATTTAAAGTGGCTCTTTGTTCATTAAGTTTAGGTTTGATCCCAGCTTGGTGGGGATGAGTAATGCTCTCAAATGGCAGTCTTACATGTTAGGTTGTATTCTACAACATAACTGAGAATGTTTTCAATGGTGAAAATGGTAAGTAGACTCTATTCCTGGGTAGGGCCAATCAGTGGTCAGGCTAGGAGATATGTGAAGAAAGCAATCAGAAGGTAGTTATCTTGTGGTGCCCTTTTATATGCTTACTCCTTACCAGCTCATAAGTCCCCTCAAGGCCTTGTGAGGAATTTAGATTTGGTTCTAAAAGTATTGGAAAGCTATTGGAGGCTTGTGAGCAATGAAGGGACATAATTTAACTTAATATTCTAAAAAGGAATACTCTACAAATGTTGACAGGAAGGTCCTATCTAGAACTACAACCTGGATATTTTGGGAAAATCTGCCTTTACTGAACTCAGCCTTTTCTCCTGCTGCTTGTACTTTCCTACTAATGTTACTTTTATATTCATCTGTCTACATTACCACAAATGGAGATGTTCTCCACAGTTCTTGGGTCACTATCCTAAGAAACTTAAAGCCTATATCATTTATGAGGGTAAATGCCTTTTCTGATGGAACTAACGTCCTTGTGTTCTTCCCTGGCCTACATATACGTGACAGAAATAAAAATCTAATAGCTAATCTTCCCATCTGAGAGAATAAATGACATGGCCTTGCAAATTGATCTAACTAATCAACTGCTGTGCTTCTGTCTTTCAGAAAATACTGAAGGAAGGACCTCTACTGAAGAACTGTAACTCCTTCAAGAGATGGAAGCTTAGATATTTTCTGGTTCAAGAACAGAATCTCTACTTTGCACACCATCCCTCGGTAACTAATCTTATCACTTGAGTTAGTGGGTGGGTGCCAGAAAATGTATGAGTGCAGAGATGACCAATAGGTAAAAAACATGTTGGCAACCATTAGGGTGGAAGTTGAAACACTCTACTCTTCCTTTAATTTATCCCTTTGGGCCAAATGGGGGAGCACTTGTCTTTCATTTCCCCTTCCTGTTTTTCTTCCTTTTCAAAGAGCTCCCAGTTAGACTCTGTACATAGAGCCAACTACATAATTTGTTAGACCAAGTGCAAAATGAAAATGCAGTGTCCCTTATTCACAAAGTAGGCAGGATACCATTAATGGTACTAACATATAATGCTCTGCATTTATACTAAAATATAAAGCAATGACTTGTGTTTTTATTTGCTATTTAACATCACTATAAGTAAAGGAAACAAAGATTTTAATAATTAGCCTGAATTTTACCATTCATTTGTACATTGTAGCATGCCTGTTTTAAATGCAAATATAAGAGCATTTAACTCATGCGAAGAATAACCCAAATTATACAATTTGTAAATTAGTAGCTCATATGTACATAACTATTTTGTTCCTCACTAGTACACCAAACCGCACAAAACTAGCTCAATTGTTTTGGTTTCACTATTTGGTACTTGCACATTCTATCAGTACTTTCTGACTGAACAGAAAAGGAACTGTGGTTTGCCCTATCTTTCCATTTCTTCTTTTTTTGTGGCACTGGGGTTTGAACTCAGGGCCTCATGCATGCTAGGCAGGCGTTCTACCACTTGAGCTACTCCACCAGCCCTTCTTTTGTGTTGGATGTTTTTGAGATAGTTTCTCATAAACTGTTTGCCCTGGCTGGCTTTGAACCATGATCCTCCTGATCTCTGCCTCCTGAGTAGCTAGGATTACAGGCATGAGCCACTGGTGCCCAGCTCCCTTTCCTCTGATGTCATCATTTTCAGCACAAATGACTGGCTGACACGGGGAAGGAACATGAGGAGTAAAGGCTACAGTAGAGCTCCCTGTTGTTCATGTTTCCTAGAACACCACTGCCTTTTCTTATTTTTGCAGCAAGTTATGGCTCCAACAGAAAGCATGACCTCTCAGAGCTGTAGCTCCCCCACGTAGTCAGTCATAAATGTAACGCATCTCATACTTGCTTTGAGTTTCACTGAATTCCCACACATGATGGGTCCACTGTTCTTTTATGCTCATGGACATTGCAAATGCAAATGAGGTGACAAGACATGGGGTGGACATGCATATTGTGCATAGCTCCTGTGCTCAGATGCATGACCTACTGTTTCATTGGGATTTATTTACAAAACACAAGCTCAAAGATAAAACTATTAAGAATTTGAATATGGCAATAGCAGAGCACGTGGTGGGGGGGGTGGCTTCTTAACACAGGGTCCTGTGTAACTGCACAGATTGCATACTGGTGAAACCAGCCCTACCTATATTGGTACTACTGACTTCCTGCTGCTGGCTAAGTAGTATCTATTATGTCCAATGTACAAGATACTAGCCTCAAAGTGAATAGGACAAGCAACATGGCCAATAAAATAGGAGCCAATAACAATCTGTACTACTAGACCTCTAGTTAGCCCACATTCCATTATCTTCTCCAGCATTAACCTTTATATTTAAATAATTCTGAACTGACCAACCCAAGCCTTTCTAGAAATCCACATAACAGTTTTGGGAAAATTGTGTTTTGGTTTAGTTTAAATTTTGTCACACAATGTATACACAAAAATAATGTTGCTACATAAATCCCAGTCCTCAAAACAAATAAATGATTGGATCGTGACTGCCCAAAATGCCTGTCAGTGTGTATATGTATGTGTATGTACCTTTTAATATCTATTTGCCTCATTAACCAGATGGTTTCTTGTCCTTTTCCCTCTTTTTCCAGTTTGCACACTTTGAAACAATTGATCTGTCTCAGGTCACCTTGGCAGAAAGCAGCTGTAGAAATCCTTGCCATAGTTTTTGTGTAAGTAAGATTGGGAATGACTGAATGGGCAAGGGTGGGGGCTAGCTGAGAAGAGGGACTGCCATACCCACTTGTCCCATCTCTGGACATTAGGTTTCCCAAGTCTCCTTTAATCTCAAAGTGTTATTATTCATACAAACAAATTTCTACCAGTCCAGTCCAGGGGGCAAAGTAATGGTCTTGTTCCCTATTAGCAGCCTGCAATAAGCTGATTTCAGGGGGCAAGGAGCATGTGACTATTACAAAATTTAGTCACTTCTCCTGGTAAAGATGATTTAGAAGAGTATCACTGAGAGGGTTTCAAGAAACTAATAATATGTCATAGAGAATATCAGGATAATCAAGTTACATGACATGTAACTTTGATGAGGTAGACAAGAATGTAAATCCAAAGTGAAATATACCCCATGCTGAGACTACTGATGACAGTACCTCAAAGAAAGCAGAGCATTTTCTAAGAAAGTGTTCTGGGGCTTAATGAGCCCGAGATGTCACGTGGCTTTGGTTATTCAGGTGAATCTAGACAAGAAAACTCAGTGAAAAAGTAAGTCCATTGACCCAGCGATCTCTTACCCATATCCTTCCAGAACTGTCTTTTCTCAGTCTCAATACTAGGTAATAGAAACGGGGGTTCCTCTTTGAGCAGGTAAGAGGTGGTAAAAAGCACTAGACCCATACCCTCCTTCATGGCTGGTCCATGTTCTTTCCCTTGAAAGGGGAACAGCAGAATCTGAGAAGAAGTCCCAGCTTTCATTTCTCTCTTATTACATCACACTGACCTATGGTAAAGCTGAGGGTTCTATTGACTGGTCTCAAAAAATCTGAACCTTGGGGTGAAGAGCCAGTAGGCTAATGTTTTTGGTCTGATTTCTACAAAGAAATCCCAAGGGCTAGGCTGCACATTGGCTTAATGAAAACACAGAGAAACTGTACATCAACCCCAACTAAGAATGGTTCTAAACTAAAGGAGTGTCTGTGATCATGATCCCAACTACCACAGAATCATGCTATGCTACATGCCAAAGGAAAAAGAACTTACTTGTTGGTATGGTGAGCTCTAGCTCCAATATTTGAGGTATTGGTAGCAATGATTGGTTCTATAGCTATACACTGAAGCAATACATAGCTACCCATGCTTCCTCCAGACCTCTGAGAAGAACCAAGTTCCACCCATGGTCTACATGTGCTAGACCCTCAGCCTGGCTTTCTCATAGCTCCTGACTAAGTTTTTGCACCTATTTTAGAATTAAGAAAGATAAATGTAAAGCTCTCTCCATGTTGTCTCTGCCCATAAAAAAGAAAGAAACTGAATTTTTAGACATCTCACTCCCTACCCCAATAAAAAGAGACATGCTTTAATGAAGCAAGTACACTTTTACCACTTCAAGTAGACAGAGCGTCAGTAAGCAAGTAGGGTTTTTAGGCAACCTCCCTATAATAGATCATGTATGGCTTACTGTCAAAGAACATGGATTCAGGAGCCAAAGAATCTGGCTTTCAATTTTGGCTTAGTTTTTTACCCTCTGGGTGATCCTGGGCATGTCATTTAACTCCTTCTGTCTTGGCTTTCCTGGCTATGAAATGGGAAAAATAACAATGCCCATCTCATGGAGTTGTAGTGAAGATTGATTGAAGTAATATTCCTAAAGTGCTTTAGAATAGTTTCTGGCACACAGAAAGTACCATTAAAGTCTTAATTATTACTATCATCATTATTATTATTTTGGGTGGATATCCAAGGAACTGTGAGTGAGCCTGGGAACTTCTGTCCTATATTGAAGAAGTGGCTTAGGTTGTGCTTGGTAGATATATATGTCTAGTTCCTTAGCGAGTTCACATACAATGTTTGGGGTAAATGTTGCGGCGTGAGACCAGCTAATACTGTGACATTTTCTTTAGGTTATCACACCACAACGAAAAGTCACCCTGGCAGCACCCAACCGGAAAGACATGGAAGAATGGATTAATACCATAAAAACTGTCCAACAGGGAGAAACTCGTAAGGTAAGGGAAAGAGTAAAGAATGCACACAACTTTCATAGGCAAATACTTAATTCATTGCATTAGTTAAACTACTTTTCAAACAGTGAATAAAATGGAAGCAGAGATAATAAGTCTGGTATTATTATATAGATATCATTAGGACACTTGTTTAGAACACTACCCAGGAATAATTCACTTAGACTCAGACTCTTGATAAGTATGTGGCTTGGATACTTCTGTACACATCCACTTATATGTAGATATTACTGTATACTTGAATGAGGCACTCAAGATGCATATGAACAGCCAAATTAAATGCCCCTATGTTAAGAAAACTGCAATCAGCAATCTTGACTTGGGTCTCCTGAATAACTATAGCAACAGCCAAGGAAACTGAGAGTCAGAAAGAGGAAGAAACCAGATCAAGGTGAAACAATTACTCAGTAGCAAAACCCAGATCTGGACCCAGGCTATGTGATACCAAAGTTTATGTCCTTAACCACTATACAATTGTACCTCTTTATTTTCTGTCCACCACAAAAGAATTGTAGAGAGAATAAAAAAGGTGAAGTCATCCCCACAGCTTATCAGGGTTCTTCTTTCCCCCACTGGCAATACCAAATCTCTGGTCACTGGTCCCTGAAATATGTGGTGCCACCATTTAAACTCTGGTTTCTGCCTTAGCCCGATCTTCTGTAGCACTCGTATAGTTGTGAGTTATGTAAGTTCTAAGAGAGGAGGGATTTTTGGCATTCATTTACTTATGTAGCAGAGGCTCAATACACATTTTTGAATGAATAAATGAATCCAAGGGCAATCTTAGAGCCAGGGTTCAGAACGGGAATGATGCATGGTTCATCCTAATGTAAAGTTCTTCTTTGAACGTCTTGGAAATAAAGGGGAAGATGAATACTTCCTTTGAGGGAGAAAGATGGAGGGGGTGAATCTAATTAAGATACATTGTGATCACACAGGCAAATGTCACAATGAAACCCCCCTGCAAAACTAATATATGCTAACAAAAACACTAAAAAGATCCTGATATCTTAAGTACTAGCAAAGAGCAGAGGGTTGGTCTAAGCATTTGGGATACAGCAGCAGTGTGCAATGTGGCTCAGTAATAATGGGGTTTCAAAATAAACCCTTCATGTGACTTAGCATTTAGCATTTCATTCCTTTGTTATTTTCTTCTTCCTTTCCTGATGGAGAAGCACATCCCTTCTCTGGCAATGAGGCCACCATGACATAGCATTAGAGGTAACCACAAAGAGTTACAAATTCTATACTTCTTTCCCATCTTCATCCCTGTGAAGCAATCCCTTTCTTTCCCTTGGCTTACTTCTATTCAAATTGGAGTGCTTCCTACAAATCACATAACATTTTCAATTTGGAAAAAAAAGTTGCATAGGGTATTTTGAATTTTAATTATTAGTCCAGGAATGCAAAAATACTAGAGAAAGCCATCAGATAATTGATGTGCCATTCTGAATTAAACACCTAAGTATTGACTATCTAGCACAAAATAGGAAAAAAAAATCTGTTTACTCTCTTGGAAGAGTTGTGAGTATCAGGTTGTAATCAAAACCTCTGAGGAACTATTCCAGGGACCTAAACCTATTAAGAAATACTTTTAGCTGATAGGGAAATGTCTCATCACCAGCATCATAGCAATTCATCTTGCTTTAAGTTTAAACAGCCAAATATGCTTTTTACCATACATACCTTATCAGTCCCTTCTATCTTCTATCTCCACCAGTGCCTGACAAATGGGGTGAGGGAATATTATACATGGATTTAGTGGTCTATTAAAGTAGTGACAGAACAATTAGATAATCCAATGGAAACTATCCAGTACACATTAATGTGGCAGCCCCTACAAGGTGCTCAGTTCTGTTCCCTAGAGAGTTGAAAAGAAGGTATAATTCTGACTCCTGGCTTCAATGAACTTTTAGGGAGTTGGGGAGACAAGATGAACAAAAGAGACAGCTAAATGACAGTACTCAAAATAAATAGTTAGCAGAGATGTTATAAGGCAATGCATGATTGATTGCCAGATGAATAAAACAGACAATAAAAGGGTAGGTGTAGGAGTTCAGGGAAGGAAAAGATAACTAGGTTGGACACCTCTGGGAAGAGTTAATAGAGATTGAGACTGACCTTGAAAGATGGATAGGATTTTACTGGTAGCAAGGAATTTTAGGGAAGGGGGAAGTCCTGAGCAGGGGAACTGGTATATGAAAAAGCTTAGTAACAGGGAAACAGAATACACTGAAAGGCAAAATAAATTTCACCAGAATATTTGGGGATGTAAGCACAAGAAGCATATCTAGAGAGGTAAGGTAAGGCCAATGGTAAATTTTTTTAATGCAGGAAAAAGTGGGGAAGACTTATAATATGATCAAAATTCAGTTAGAGGAGGATTGGGAAGGGAAGGGAGTTGGTCAGAGGGACACTCTAGAAATACAGGATGGATTAGATAAGGGAAAAACTAGAGGCCAGAAGTTCAGAGAGGGCTACAGATCAATTCAGGCAAGATGGAGTTAAGCCCCAGAATAAGGGAGGACAAACAGTAGTGGATATTAAGTTAGGGAAAGGGGAGAACCTAAATATAAGAGTGAGGCAACATGGGGCTGGAGATGTAGTTCAATGGCAGAGTGCTTGCTTAGCATATGAGAGCCCCTGGGGTTGATTCTCTATGGGTAGGGGAGAGAGAGAAGGAGAGAAGAAAGGGGAGAGAGAGAGAGAGAGAGAGAGAGAGAGAGAGAGAGAGAGAGAGAGAGAGAGGCAACAGATGAAAGATTTGAGACTGCGGGATTTAAAGAAAGAATATAACATATAAAAGAACAAATTGGAAATAAGGAGCTATTTGGACAGCTACATTAACAGTTCTTTTCTAATGCCTATCATGGGGTCACTGACTATGGGAACAGAAATGGACCTTAAAACTCATCAAGATTCTAGATTCTAGACTCTAGAGCATCTGAGATCATGAGTCATGGTAGCCTTTATTTGAATGCTTCCAAAGACAGGGAAATAAGTTTCTTGCAAAATGAGCTCATTCAATGATCTAAAAGACTTAAATCTTTTTTTTTTCTTTTAAACATTTATTGTTTTTTTTTCCATTTTTCTTTTATTATTCATATGTGCATACAAGGCTTGGTTCATTTCTCCCCCCTGCTCCAACCCCCTCCCTTACCACTCCGCCCCCTCCCTCTCCCCCCCCTCAATACCCAGCAGAAACTATTTTGCCCTTATTTCTAATTTTTTTGTAGAGAGAGCATAAGCAATAATAGGAAGGAACAAGGGTTTTTGCTGGTTGAGATAAGGATAGCTATACAGGGCATTGACTCATATTGATTTCCTGTGCATGGGTGTTACCTTCTAGGTTAATTCTTTTTGATCTAACCTTTTCTCTAGTACCTGTTCCCCTTTTCCTATTGGCCTCAGTTGCTTTAAGGTATCTGCTTTAGTTTCTCTGCGTTAAGGGCAACAAATGCTAGCTAGTTTTTTAGGTGTAAAAGACTTAAATCTTACAATTTTTTTCTTAGACTTTGGTCTAGTAGAAGAACTTTCTAACATTAACTGTGAGCTCCAGCGATGCCATCAACTATCTCTTAAGATAGAAAGCTCCCTGACATTGGAAGTATTACAAGCAAACTATTTGAACTGATTGTCCTGATGTTGTAGAAAGCATTAATTTTTCAGATAGGCAAACTAAAGGAACTCCAGCATTCCTTTCAACTTGAAAAGTTTGTGATTGCAAGATTTCATTAAGCAATTAAGCAGATAAGAAAACTGAGCCTCAGAGTCAGTTGCCTTGCCTGAAATCAGTTTATTCTAGAAGAATTGAGATCTTAGCTCTTCTAACTCTTGATCTATGTATACTGTTGGAAAAATGTCTTCAATCGGCTTAATTTGTTCTCTTCTTTCCTCTAATCCTCACCCTTTTGTGATTATAGGGGTAGGAATAATAAGCCAGACAAGTGCATTGTGTAGATCAACAATTAGATTCAAAGTGACTAATGACTCTCTAGCTCATGTCTTCATGATGAGTGGCTTGCCCAGGATAAGTCCAGTTTACACTTGTCCCACCCTAAGTATTAACTGTTCCTCTTTAACTGCTGAAAGTGTTCTGATTTGAACAATATGATTACCTTACCAACAGCAGCCAGCCTGGAGGCCCTAATAGTCTTCTGCAACCTTGATAAAACCACGCAGTTGAGTTCACATTTCAGCACAAACCACTGACTTGGTTTTATCAAAACTCAACATTTCATCATATAAGCCATTCCAAACAAGAGTCATTTGAGGAATTACATCTTTATAAGATCTTGTGGCTTATGGGATATTTTATCTGAGACTTGTATGCAATTTGCAGATATTTAGTATTATTAAATCCTCACATTTGGATAATGCATTAGAAGTTACAGAGCACTGAGACTAAAAGAATCTCATTTAACTAATAGACAAATAATTAGTGTACATACCTGAGTTCTGCATTATAGTTAAAGGGATTCAGGAGATAGGGAAATAGCCTTATAACTGCCCTAGAACAGCAGTGTCTTAGTTCACACAAAAATACCATAGACTGGATGACTTAACATTTATTTCTTATATCTCTGGAGGCTAGGAAGTCCATGATCAAGACACTGGCAGATTCTGTGGCTGGTGAGGGCCCATTTCCTGGTTCATGGACAACCAACTTCTCACTGTATCCTCATATGGCAGAAAAGGGATCCTTTTATAATGGAATTAATCTCACTAATGAGGGCTCTATCACCTCCTATAATCATTTTATTGTAGGATAATCTATCAACATATGAATTTGGAAGGAGACACAAATTCAGTCTGACAATCTGCTCTTGGCCTCCAGAAACTCATGTTCTTCTCACATGCAAAATAAATTTATTCCAACCAAACAATTCCAGCATTGCCTCTAAAGTCTGAAATCCAAAGTATCATCTAAATATCATTTAATGCAGATATGGCAGACATTCTGTGGCAAAATTCATCTCCAGTTG